AAATCTCTAGCCCAGAATTTCCGCTTCATTTATCTCTCTTGGGCTAATTAGAGCGCAACGGCTCGGGAGAACGAATAATAAACGCGGGTATCACGGGTCTGCACGTTCCGCCGCATAACCAACCATTTTCCCTAAATGCGATAGACAGACGCATTATTTTGGCAGCAAATCCAAAGCTGTAGTTGGGAGGGTGAGCTATTTGGCCCATCCTCCTGCATTCGCCTCATCCGGCCGCCTAGGGCCGCCAATGACTGCGCCCACACATCGGGCGATTAATGGGCAGCCGCATCGGCTGCAGGAATTTGACGGCGCACCTGTCGCGAAGAAGAGACGAGCCTGGCCCAAATAATTAATTCCTCAGGGCGGGTGGGCGGGAAAACACAAACCTGGACGAGCAGATCCTGCGCACCAGTCGAACTGAAATCTAACACAAGTATCACCAAGCTATATACCACGCGTTCATGCAAAGTGATAGTTCTGCACGACGAACGTGAGAGTCCCCGCACGCAGCCAAAGAGACAGATAAATCACGCGAAAATCCGCTCCGGGGGGAAGGCCGCGCGACCAAAAATCTCGGAGATTTTTGGTCGCACCGCCCGCACCAAAAATCTCGGAGATTGTAAAGCCTCTAGCTTTTCTGAGGGGCTCTGAAATCTCCGAGATTTTAGAGCCCCTAGAAACCTGCAGGAGGCCTTTTAGAAGTGAGCCGGAAAGGCTAGGCCGCGCGCGGTCGAAATGGGCGAAAGTGGCTATTGAGATATTTGTGTCCTCTCCCGGGGCATGAAGGCAAAGAATTAATATTATTTTCCAATGACAGCCTTCTGCGCTTGCAGCGCCTCACGTGGTCTATGAATTTGATAATCGTATCCTGCATTCTACGAACCTTCTACAAAATCACCATTCAGGATAGAAATAAATCAAGCAGACAAATCGGCTTGATTTTGACTAGGATTATTTAAAGGCCTGTCATACTACCCATGGAACTTCAAATTGTTCTTTGCTCCTAGCAATTGCAATGCCAATTTCTTTAGGTGATTCTTGTCTTTATTCGCGCGGAATTTCAGCCACGCGTATTAAAGTCCAAGTAAATCAGCGGGTTTCTGGAGTCCCGAACTGCATTTGCCTTGCTGCCTTCAGACGTCTCTGTCCCGGCCCATCCGCTGTACCTTAATGGGCCGGATGCTTCCTGGAAGGCAGCATTGAGCCCTTGCAGGCGGCAGACGGCAGGTGCGCCAGCCATCGAAAGCTGCGCACAGTAGACGGTACAATTTTTAGGTGATCTTGGGAGACTATTGAAGGTTTTTCAGGATATCTTGCATGCATCCTGTCTGTGCTGCACTTCATCCGGCTGCTGTCTAGCCTTCTGAAACAAGGTCAGGGATGCCTGTGCGTTCTCGAACAAAAGCATCCTCGGGCAGGCCCCGTATCTGCCACAGGCATAGGCGACTTCCTTATTGCCGTGTTCAGGAAATTCGTGCACATCACAAGCACGCATACCCCCAATCAATCCAGAGATCACAAGATGGGGCAACTATGAGTCCCTCATGTACGCCATGCCCTTTAGCTCGGTCTGAGGACTAAGAAGCCAACACTACTCCACGGCCCGCTACAAAAACTGCTACAAACATAGGCTGGGACTATGACGAAATTAAGATGGACTAGGACTAGGCCTGCATGCACACGTATCATTCCATTTCCGAGGTTTGTTTGTGGTGTCGCTCAGAGGACCACTCTTGCTTTTCTTGCCAAGTGCTGGCCCAAAAACTTTCTTTCTGCAGCGTCACGATTACCGTGCTGATCACTTCGTAGCTGATCCAAATGCCAGTATCAAATCGTAACAAGACAGCCACTGGCACCACGCCTCAGACTACTGCAATTCCAGGATGTGTACTGGTGCTGCCTCGAGTCTGACCACTGTGAAAACCTTCCGGGAGCTCCTTGCGCAAGGCTCGGCAAGTCATTGAAGAAGAGCCACCTTCCCGACACAAAGGTTAGAAGGTCATGAAACGTTCCAATTCAGCACTACCCCGAAAAGGCGAGCACTCTGCGTGATCACAACAGGATCAAAGAGCTCAAACTAACTTTGCACACTTCTGGCGAGTCATAACCGTGCAAAAGAAGCCATGAGAATAATCACTTGCAGAAAATCTAGGGGTCGCAACGATGGTGCGCTAAGCTTCAGAGAAGAGCCACTCTTCAGGGTTGGAGAGGCTTCGGCAGAAGACCACATAGTGCGCAATGTCCTCCGCCAGGATACGACGGCTGCAACAGCCAAGAAACCCCAAGCTGGAGCACAATGAACAAGGCTCTTCACATCCCATGCCACAGCTACAGTGTGCTGCCTCGTTTCCGTGCCTTCGAGGAATCACGCTCAAAAAGCTCTCACGATCTACAGTTCCGCTCCCCGTCCTCCATGTAGCAGCTCATAGCCACGAGCCGCGCTCCACCCAGGTTCTTCTCGGGCCGCAAAGCCCATGCCAAGGTCTGCATGGAGCTGCGCTCAAGTGCTGGGAAGGTGAGGTCGAAAACCAAGAGCGGGGATTCTACTTGTTCCACTAGCTCCTGCAATTGCTCAGTGGTGGTGGTCTTTCCAGTCCATGGCACGGGCACGAAAGCAAAGAGATCTGAGAGGAACTGCAGATCTGAGGCTTCATGGAACTTGCCAAAGGCCTCAGAGCAATCACCATATCCTGCACCCCAGGCTGCCACTAGCTCGCTCACGGGAACGAGCGTGTTGTGGGCTGAAGCATCCTCATACATTTGCCATGTCTTTTGCAAGGCAGCCAAAGCCGTTCCGTCCTTTGCAAGCACTGGCTTCACCAGATTTTCAAATGCTGTATGAAAGACTCGTGAATGCCACAAACTTTGGAAGAAGGTGGACAACCAACAGCTCTCTGCTTTAGGGTTCACGAAATCGGAATGGGAGTAGGAAAGCGTTCGGTTCAGTTCGGCCACAAGCCGCACTGACTCTTCATCAGGCTCTAGGACTTTGCCTGTCTCAGCCTGAAGTTGGTCCAAAGAGATGCCCAGCATCTCGAGGTTGTCCAGCGTACGCTGTAGCTCCACAGCTGCACGGACCATCTCAGGGCTTGCCGTTCGCTTTAGCTCCTCGTACTTCTCATGCTGATTGCGTAGCTGCTTCAGTAACTCTCGAAAGGTCTCCTCCCTGCTAGAAGAGCGCTGAAGCCTCCTTGCAGTCTTGCATGGCAACACACTCCTTTCTGAACGGACAGGTGTCAAGGCCTGCAAATCACCGTAGAAAGACGGCATTTTGCAGTAGCTCCAGCCGTTGACGTTCCCTACATGGACCCGCAACCAGTCATCCCGGCGGTCAGTGACTCTGAAGACCTCGTTTGAATGAATGACTCCAACGATCGCGGAGTCTGGGCTTGGCTCTTGGCGGATGTTCCAGGAGTCAATGCCCTCAAGTTCCAGCTCTGGTGGCAGGTACCACAATTGATCCATGCGGCCGCGCTTCTGGGCTTGCATCGTGTCTGCCCTTGGGCCCAATTGCTGCCGGGTCCCCTACGCCTTTGCTTGTTTTCGTGCTTAGCAAATAGCTTCCAAGCTCAACAGTGTCTTGGGTTTGGGCAGGGCCTTCATCGCCCATGTAGTCACTAGAATGCTGTAGTTGTGAGTTAGCTCCAAAACTGGAGCATAAAGCTTGTGCAGAATCATGTGTCTCCTGCCTGCCATATCCTACCGTGAAATTTAGGAAAACTGCGACCCAGCCCACGCAGAATCAGATCACAGACTTCACCTGGCTGAATCATGTCGAAGTTGATGAATGTTTGAGTTGCGCTACTGTTTGTTACTACCAAGACTTGGCTTCGTTTCGAAATTGGATCGTACATTCTGGGAAATGACACTGGAAGATCCCATGCTGATGTTTACATCCCTCCTAACTTCTTCAAGGTTTATGCAGCTGTGGGGTGGTAAGTCTCTTGAATATTGTCGTGAGAATTGCTCGTCCTTCGGTGATTCTTCCCATTGAATCGCCGTATCTGTAGGCAGCAGTAAGATCATGCGTATAGGGGTGCGGCGGCATGATGTGATAGCATGATTGGCATGAATCACAAGGACTAAAGCAGCTGAAGCCCAAAGCCATCCCTTTCTGAGTTTTTTTGCAACCTGTTCGAAGGATGCAACCAAAAGGTCAGCGTCCGCGATTTTGCAGAGAAGATCCCTGCCGGAGTGACCTCTTGCTGCAAATTCGCGTCCTGCAGACTGTACGGTTTGCATGGCCGGCTGTGACTTGCTAAGCCTGAACAAATCATCACCTGTCATGCAAAACGTTTGCCTTCAAACTCCAGGTTCAAACTGCGGACTCAGAGAGCAAAAGATTCTGGTGAGAAGTGCAAAGGGCATCAAAGGTCAAGGTGCTGTTGCTGCTCCTGCTCTGCGTCCGCTTTCGCTCCAGTCATTTCTGCTGCTTACCGGCTATACGCCCAAGACGGCTGTAGAGGGAAAGGGTTAGACTGGTTTCCCGCCTCACTAGCTTAAACGGAAGGATTTAACCTAGCTGGGCAACTTCCTGGCTAGGCTCGTCTCTCTCTCAACCTGAACGCATGTTGGCGCCGAGGGTCTCTTTTTGTGGCGGCCGTCCTGCAGGCATGCGACAGGGCACATGCATCTGCATGTGGGACCAGAAGCATCCATTGCTAGCCTTACATTGCATCTGCCCATAGGAATGCACGCAGATATGGCATGCTGCCGCATCTTGCATTTCTGGCGATCAGGCCTGTCGATCCGCCAGTCGCTTGGAAAGCGCAGTAGCAGCCCACTTTCTGGAGCAACCACGGTCTCCAATCCAGGATGCCAGTGTGTGAGGACCAACCGCTTCCAATCCACACCTCAAGTCAGGATGCATCATGAGTCCTGCACGAGCTTGTTGAGGGCACAATCTTGCTCTATTCTGGCATAGAGGGGATTGCCAGCTACATCTGAAATCATGAGAATCTACCACTGGTCTGTTCCCCACAAAGTGCTGCATGCTCATATCAGGCCCAGCTTCCTTGCGGTGCAACCACTATCTGTTGTTCCTCCTCGTCCTCTGCAAATTGCAGCTCAATGTCGAGGGCTCTGAGCGCCCATGGCATCACGACAACCAGCCTGTAGACACCCAGCATCTCCGAAGTCCGTGTCAGTAGACGTTCTGGCCCGTTTCTGTCATTTACTTGCTGCTGAAGGATTGCATGGTAGCCTGCAAAGTTGCTCTTTTTATTGTCCTTCCCATCCATCCTCTGTCCATCTCGAACATAGCAGTGGAGGTATAACTCATCATCCAAGTCAGGAATGCAGAAGGGCGAGCCAGACGCAGACTTCCAGCCGGAGATCTTGCGTGCATGACATCTGAGAAACATTTCATTGTTTGAAACCTCAGTCACTTTACTATCACAAGCACCCAACACTCTGCAAAAATCTCTGACTTATTAAGATCATGGCAAACCCAGCACGAAGAACCGAATTCCGCGCACAGCAGCACAAAGCAGACGGCCGCCGGCACGCAGCACTCGGCAGGCTTCTTCCAGCATTCTTCGCGAGTCCTCTGCTTTCAAGGCATCAAAGCCTTGGCAGGCGAACAGGCTTTTCACACGTGTTGCGCGCCACATCCGCATACAATCATTACGTATGTAGCAACTTCGAAGTGCTTCTCAACTCCACCCATCCAAACCTCTCTCCCAATGTGTGCAGGCCACAGCCCTTGTCAACCACGGCCTCAATGCTACCTGACCGCAGTGGCAGCGCCCGCACATCCAGCGTCACGAAGTTGGCACAGCCCCCGCAGCCGGAGGCAGCCCTGGAGGCATCTGCCGTTGCAGTGGGGGAGAAGTCCACCCCAATGGCTGCGAAGCCGCTGCTGGCCAGGCCAGGCACCAGGGAGAAGTTGCCGCATCCCAACTCCAAAACTCGAGCGGGCGGGACCAAGGCCAGGTGGCCCAGGATGCCTTCTGGGTCGCAGAGGTGACGCTTCAGCTGTGGCCAGCCTAAATACCATTCTGGTCCTCCCCCGGGTTCAGTTTGATAGCGCTGCTCCCAGTATTCCTGCTTCGAGTAGCATGGAATGCTCATGGCCTCAGACATGACCTGATCTGATGGTTCAAGGCCAGTCATCATTCATCCTTCCATTGCACCAGGCACTCTCCCCGGCATTGCCTTGCTGGAGACGAGGGTACAAGGAGCAGCTTGCCAGAAGCTTGTGCCAATTTTCTGGCTGCGGCGCAGGGCTTGCTCTGCAGGCTGAACATGGTACAGCAAGACGTGCAAAGCTCGGCAGGCAAACGCTGCACATTTGTAAGCTTCGCTAGTTTCTCTCTCCTTCGCACTCCACTCTGCATCGCCGAGCGCCGCTGCGCAGCCCAAGGAGCCTCTAGACATTCACAATTGTTCAGGCTCTACGTACCATTGACTTAAATCGCATCTCAGCAAAGAACAACACTTTCCGGACTCATGACCCGCACCGGCAGTAGTTAGTTCGTGCTGCTCAAAGAGAAAGGCTTGTGGCCACTTAGTGATTCCCTTGGCTTCATCTGTCTCCCTACACGTAGACCGGCTAACAACCCAAAACGCGCTTGATTTGGCAGTTGCTTCTCCAGATGCATTTCAGTCCGCTGGAGGCCCTGACCCCAAAAAAAAAACTTGTTGTTAGATGCTTCCTCAGGCAGGCAGGGCAGCTAACTGCATCCATCTTCACAAGCAAAGCCTAGCTGTTAAAAAACACCTACGAACCTTAGGATTAGCAGCGCTAGCAATGTCACAAGATAGGCCGAGGGCATCATTTGGCAGGAACAGGTGTATACTAGTAGTTACTGTTAATGGTTATGCTGCAAGAAGTCCTTTCTCTAAACTGAGCCGGTAAGAGACTTGCCAGGACTGCTGCTGCTGCTGCTGCTGGTGATGGCGATGGTGTGGCGGCGGTGGTATCGGCGGCGGCAGTGGTGGTGGTGGGGGCGACTCGTCGTTACAGTTGCACGAGCAACAGCAGCAATTGTTTTGGTAGCAATGCCCAATCTCTGTAGATGTCAAAATATGACAGAATTGTCACCTCTGGCCTTGGTGAGCCGACCTGCTCGGCCTCGCAGTACCTGTCGGGCTTCAAAGCATCAAATGGAGCAACGACACTCAGAAGCAGTCTGTAACCTCAGGGTCCTTCTTACCGACACACTGCAGCCAGGCCACCCTCGGCATGCGCCGAGCCACAGAAACTTCGAAGGGTGCTTGGATGGTGCCGGATCGCAAGGCCTGCCGCAAAGGGCTTGGTGGTCTGCCCAGCTTTGGGGTGCAGGGTACCTTTACCCACCGATCAGGCACTCACATTATCGCCCCAGGTACCACCAAACACAAGAAAAAAACAGAAAGAGCCGTCAGCATAGTCACCCCACCAGACCCTACAGCGACAGCAGCTAGGATCTGCCCATGCGCACGTTCTCCTCACTTCTTCCCGTCACTCTGTGTCTTCCTCTCACATGCTCTCCACGATTTGCCCGCTGAAAAATAATGAAACACCATGCCTGAACCACCCCACTCCCTGTTGCAAACACACATTTGCTAAGGCATATCGCCTCAATCAGGCCGCTAGCATGGCGGTGCTCTACGTCCACTGCCCAGCCACCCTCCACACGCGCCGCACGGCCGACCTTTGCCTGAGCTGAAGGGAACCCAGGCATTAAGGCTACGCAGCGTGACTGCTACAGCATGCTCTACAGCTAAAAGCCAGACCCCGCGCATCCTTGCAGTCCAGCAGCCAGCTTGGGAAGCATGGACCCAACCTCGCGGAGTTCAAGATCTCTACTCTGATGGGTTGTGTTTGCGGCAGGAGTGAACCCCGTCAACAGTTATCATGCTTGCACAAGTCATGCACTCGCTGGTGGCCACCTCAGGCAAGTGCTCATCCGTAAAAATCCCCTGGATATGCTGGCGAGAAATCCCACACCCACCAGAACCAAGCTAGACTTGCTCCCAAAGTGCAATGCGCTGGACTTCACCATCCGTGCTCGCCACCAAATGCTCGGGATCGTTGGCCAACAAACCTGCAAGGAAAGCCAAAAAAGGTTGCGTGGCTCTGATTGATGCATGATTAAAGCTTGACGGCAATGCAGCATGGCTTGTAGAAAGCCAATAGCCGTGCACAGTGAACAGATTTTTGGAGGCCAACTGAAAGCTCCCCACGAAAACATCCAAAGAGGCAAGCAGCACACGAAGCCACGGCGTCCACTGAAGATCGAGGGGCGTTCACGCAAGGCCTGCGCCCAAACAAGTCTTGCGCTTGGGCCAGACTGACCCATTCAGCGTTTGCTCTCCACTGCGTGAATTCTGTGGCATTTGCCAAAAGAAGACCTGCAATCAACCTCAGCGAAAAGAGCCTGCTGCAAGTCCGCATGGCGGCTATCCAGAACGGCCATGGCCTTGCTGCAGCAGGTGCGAGATGCACATGATCGCTTGCACGATCTGGAATTGAGAGACAGCACAGCCATTCAGCTATTCCGGCCCTTTATCTAGAGTCCTGGTGGGCACAGACCATTTTCAACCTGAACGACTCGGACAGCAACCAGAAGAATTACAATGCCTCAAAGTGATGAACCACTGACCAAGGCAACTGCCGGCCTTAGTACTCATACCGTCCAGATAGCGCAAGATAACCTGGAGGTCTGTAAATTGACCTTTCATCCTCATTGCCCTCATGCCGAATTAAGCCGGAAGCTCTGAAGCCAACACTCCGAGTCCACATAAAAGCGCAAAGGCGCCGTAGCCAGAACTGCGGGCCCGTTCTCCTCGATCAGGGCCTCGGCATCCTGTTGGCCAGGCCAGCAGAGATTCTATTAAACAATGCCTGTGTCTAGTCTGCAGGGTGGTTGTAACAGCGCAGGGTTCTTACGCGGCCGATCATTCAAGCCTGATACTGGGATCTAAACTAGACCAGACAATCTTCTCAAACATCTAAGACAAGGTCACCACCCCAGTCCCATGTCGCAGGGTCCGAAACAAGTGACAAGTGGACGCGCACCCCAAACTGGCTGGTCCGTGGACACTGAACTACACAAAAGACTGGGAGGCTGTATGTGAAGGATTTAAACAAGCATCGTCTGCAAACAAGAAACTGTGGAACTGGCTGAGCATCCTCTACTCTGCAGCAGAAAATCTCTTGGTGCTTTGAAAGCCCTGGGCTGAGCAATTGTTGCACAGGTAAAGCCAAGCCTTCAGGAGCGTATCGTACTCTTCTGGCTGAATGCCTCAACAATGTAGGGGCGATTAAAGTACTTGCAGAATTTAGCGAACGAAAATTTCCATGGTTATGAGTATCATGTGCAAAGGCAAGTCTTGCCGACTACTCAGAATCCTGCACTACGGGTCTACAGAAATGATGTAGCGATTTGTGTTTTAGGGGGTGCCGTGTGCGTTCAGCTCCCTGGCACATAGTTTCCAATGGGTGTACACACCGTTGGGTCCATGGAGCCAATATCACCCGCATAGTGGAGAATCAAATGGAAAATGACATGGAAACCGGGCTTGTAAAAGGTATCTATCTTGTGGCTTTGGCACTTGGTTGCAGCATTCACAAGGGCTTGCGACATCAAGGTCTTGGCAAACCGCTGGAGAGACACGCTTCAAAGCCTCAATAACTTTGTCTTGAGCTAGAGTCTCTCCTCAATTGGCAAGAGGTCGGCGACTTGCTGTGAAATTGAAAGGTTCTTATCTGAGGGCACCCAAAAACCGATTACCATTTTGGACAACCCCATGACACCAGCACTATCCGGATGAATCCTTACCTCTACATAACCCAAGAGAATGACTACATGCTCATCATAATTGCATACATCTTTATGCATGTAAACGCCGCTGTAATGCCGAAGCCGTTTGCGTCAATTTCTAGTGCAATCCCGAACCTGTAGCTTGGACTCCCCAAGGCTTTAGATCCAGGAGAGCCGGGAGGCTGAACAGCTGCTCCAAGAGGCGGCTCCTAACTGAACAATGAACTCATACACTGATGCTACTACTGGCGGCTACAACTGGAATTCACAACCACTTGCATTATCAATTGGTGAATAACTCCGCATGGGATATCCCGGCTTAACCCTTTCTGCCAAGGATAAAAATGGCGGGGGTTGTCCGGGCTTGTGGCTGAGGTTCTGGGCAGGGCCAGGTGAAACTCTGCGGGACTGTTGTTGAAGGTGTTGAAAGGAGATGCGACGCACTGCGATACAGTTCCAACCTGTCACTGCTCAAGCGAGTCGAGTGCCTTTGAAATCTGTGGAGGTTTTTTGCGGGATCCAAGTAGCCGCTGCTACTGCCGTTGCTGGCGCATTATCACCTGTAGTCCTGCTTATAACTCAAGACATTTCTTGATGTTGTTCTTAAGGCTGAGACCGAAGTATCTGTTCTGATGCGATACTGCCTTTATTGCAGTAGTGTTGCCGTTGCTATGACGAGTTCCTCGCATGGCTGGGAACATGACCGTTGACTAGGCAGAACGATCAAGCAAGGCAGAGTCCCTTCCAGGAAACATTCTCCTGAAGCTACTCCTTGCACTGGTTCATGGAGAGAGTCTTTCATTAACTCAAAAATCCAGGACTGTGATCTAGGACCGTCCAGGGTGAAGATCCCAACGCCCCAAACGAGATACTTGGTACAATTGCGACGGTCGGATAGCTCCCTAAATTCATATAGGTTCAGGCGGAATGATTTGAAGCTCTGCACCCAGCTCGACCTGCGTAAAGAAAACGTTTCGAATCTGGCCCAGGGTCACTGCCGCGTGGTGGACATCCAAGGGACCAGGGGGCGCGATCCTCAATTAAACAGCGGTTGCAAACAGTGCCATTTCATCTGAGCATATCCACGCACTGCTGCCGCTTCCTGAGCTTAGCTTCGGCATTCCATTTCTACGCATACCTTGAGAATGTTCAAGAATGAATCGCATGATTAAGACGAAGCCCAAAACTGATGCCATGTCTCATGGAGAACTCGTGCTTGGTGACTTGCCTGACGCGCTGGATGTACTTGCGCTCTGCGGAATCGTACAAGGTGATGCATGTTCCTTGTGGCAATGGAAGCGAGCCCTCAGAACCCTGCGAAGCTGCTATTTCTTTTAGGGCTTGGTGCAAGGCCATGCTACCTCGAGGAATTGCAAGCAAGGCCAAAACTACAGGAAATTGTGTTTGCAGTAGGGGCAACTGGCGCTGCCACAACATTATCTGCAAAGCGTTGGGTCATTAGATTCTAAGCTTTCTGGCTTGTACAGGGCGGGAAAGTTAAACATCTACAATGTACCTGTCGTGAGCTGCAGTCAGGAAAGCAATCGTAATGATGTTGGGGCGGGAGGGACCGCGGCAGGAGTAGCTTGAAACGAAAGAGGGTCAGAAGTAGGCTCACCTTCCGCAAGCCTTGATCGAACATGCTCCTTGCAATGTAATGTACCGACAGCATGAGAGGGCAGGACTCACCGGACCATGACCCTTCAATCCCGTATCCTCAATTTAGCCATTGGCCTGAGGCATCCTTGGCACTTGGAGCCATGACAGCAAACAAGAATCCACCGCGGCCAGCGCGGCCAGTGCGTCCAGATCTGGGCACATACTGCCTCATAGGTGTCGGAATTTGGTGCTGGACAGGTGTCGTAAAGCTTTGAACAACTAGCCGAAGCAGCAATAGCAAGTGCCAGAGTAGTCGAGAGAGCCGGAAAAATGGCAGCCACAATCATTAACCATTGCGAGGAGCAGTCAAACAGCAAGTAGTGGTGTTGAAGCTAATACCTGGACCTGGCGATGATGATGATGATAATGATGATGATGATGCTGATGATGATGATGATGATAGTTCCCTATACCGGCCTGCTTGCTGGAAAACGAAGTTCCAAACAGCCGCGGCATCCTGTGCGGGAACCACACTGTGTCCGTACAATCCTGAAGTATTCCTTGAAAAAATCCAGCTTTCCGCCAAGTGACGCGGCATCCTTTGGCGGATGAAGCTGCATCACCTAGGTTTCTCAGAAGTGACAGTCCGCTGCTTCCTTCGTGCAAAGATCTGTTGGTAGCCTGGCTGGCACACACCCACCTGGTTTGGGTCCTGGTTTGGCCCAACCTGTGTGATGGATTGTCTACAGCTCATGGAAAAATTATATACCTTTCTTTCTTTTGTCTGGCATGCTGGAGACAACTCTTCAAGGATGGCCGCATGTTCGGCCAGCGTCAGCGTCCGTGATGCAATCTACCGTGTTCGCGGGGTTCAAGAAGAAAGTAGAAAGTGCTTTGGACACATGCAGTCGCAGGTGCCAACTTGGAGCCTGTGAAACGTGTCAGCCATCCTTGTCCTAGGCTTTCTAAAGCTATCTTTTTTGCAGCAACCAAGGCCAGCTGCAAGATTGACGTCCGCGAAGTCCACCCCGCGAGCGATGACATCTGTTGCGACAAGGACATCGAACCTAGGGAAGATGCACCGTCGATCTTTCACACGTGCGCCGGCTACGGCAATGCAAGAAGCTCTGCTGAAAAAGGCCAAAGGGTAGTTATTAACAGAAATGCCCGTGTCAAAGGCTCCAAAGTAAACCTGCCGCTGGGCAACTCTTTGTTGGCGAAGGCAGTCAGGACAGAGTCCCGCTCCTGTAGGGTGACTCAGTGCTGTCTCACGCAGAACTTTGTGCCTCTCTGGTGTACAAAGCTGCTTCCCCAATGTTGTGTGGTTTCCGACCGTTTTTCCCCAGACTAACAAATTCACGGCGGTGGAGCGGCGGTTCATCAGCTACACCTTCGAAGGAGTATCCAAAAAGCAAGGTCCTGCGAATGACTTACGCTTTCAGACGTCCTACTGCAGCAGAATTAAAAAAAATGCTGTACAAATATTTAAGGTGTTGGATTCATTTGGAGAAGTCTCCAAGCACCAGAGGCGCCTCAGCTGAGGAGCTTCCGTGAAGGCTCCGAGCACGGCGTTCCAGGGCCGGATGTGCCAACAGCGAGGAAGCCTCTTGCTCACGATGTCTGTGATGAAAATTGATATGAGCTATAGGCTACACTCCTTGCGTCCCCCTAAATAACCCTTCTAGTACTCCCAGATATAATCCCTCATATAACCCCCTTTAGGAGTTAGATTTTGGCTCATATGCCGAGAACTTGACGGAGTGGAAACTAGAAGTGTGCAACCAGCAAGTGTCTCCTCCAAGCCGGGCCTCGGAGGCTGTGTCTACGAAGACAATGCAGCGACCACCCAACATGTCCATCCTGGCGGCACTGACTGGGAAATGTTGGCATGTGCTTTTGACGAATCATTGCTTGAATTCGCTCATCACAACCGATGTGGCGGAGCAAGCATCCCAATCATCAAAGCCATTGGCAAGATGGATATGCGCTTTGGAACGAGTTTTGGGATAAAAACCGCAAAACAAGCTGTTTTTTTTATCAGCCGAGGCTCTTTTCATTGAGCAGGTGCATCAGAACTCTCGCGCGGGCTGTCGGCCTGTCACGTTGCATGGTCGTCGGGCTATGCATAGCTTATAAGATGGCTTGTAGCTTGTGTAGACCAGGCCAACCTATCCCCTACAGGCATGCCGACTGCGACATCTGATCTCAGAAGCTCCATGGCGTGGCATCCAAAGTGCAACGCAGCGGCCTCTTGTCTGGGACTTTGCACAGACGATGGTCGACGGCAGTCACAACCTTGCTATCACCCGACATTCCTGGTTGCTGGTGCCAACTTGCTGGGCATACAACGGCCGAGTCCAACTTAGGGGCGCTGGTGATCTAATGCAACAGGCCAAACAAAGCAACTTCTTGCGCATCGATCTGCGGTATTGATGGCTCGATGATGGGAACCTGTTTGCAAGTGGGTTAAGTCTAGGCACCGAATTAGTACCAGGATAAGCGGCAAGGTTTACACGAGCATGACCAGTACAGTAACCGATGTGTTAGGAGTCAAGTCCCCAAGCAGGGCAGGTCCCCCGAGTGCTGGTAGCCCAGGCAACCCCCGCTCCATGCCCAGCAAGAGGCGGCATCGCCCTTTGGCCCGCGACGATCCACAAGATCTACAAGCTCGTGGTCCTTGGCTGAGCGCAATCATCCTTTCGACTTCCTACGGCATCACCGAACTTTGGAAAGTCGAGAGAGAAAGGCCAAAACCTAACGAAGGTATGTGTGCAGATGCCTTTGCATGCCCCACTTTCCAAGGAATTCTGCTCGGCACAACAAGAACACCCAGGCAGAGCTTAAGACCTTGCAGTCATGGCCATGCAGGGAAACCCTTACTAGGCCAGGTCTGAGCAAAGTTCATCTTTCTTCTTCTCGCAGACTCGGGTTCGTCAGCTGCTGCGCATAGACGGGCAAACCACTGCTCTTGGAGCCCGCCTCTGAAAAGTTCCTTCTGGGAAATTCCCTTTTCATGCCGGAGCCCTGCAATCATTAGATCAAAGGCCGTCGCATGCCAAGCCACAGGGAAGTGCTGTCGAATGAGCGTAGAAACGTCGTCCGGCAACGAGGCAGAAAACAGTACATGTTGCCTCGGCAGTGGTGTATCATGCCTTTCTTCCAGGGTCGCCTAATGCCCTATCAGCAGCGACTGAGGCCTTCCGCACAAAGGATCTGGCTCTGCCAGCACGATTTGTGCTGTTCAGCCAATTAGAAGGGAATGGAGCATTAGATCCCTACACTACAGAAGTCCCGAAATCATCCCCAATCATCATCTCTACAGACTCTACATTCCATTCCCTCCTTCCCTACTCACAAAGTCAAGCCCAAAAAAAAACAAGGCCTTGATCTGAACTTCACCCCGTGAAGAGGTTTCTCAAAAATCCTCCCCTGTATTCCCAACAGGACTGAGAAGAGAGCAAACCAAAGCCCGAAAGGGTTTAGGCAAACGGTTTCGTGTTTATAGTGCTTGCGCTCCTCTGAAATTTTGAGCTCAGCCCTGGCACAGCCCGGGCTTGGCCACAGCCGTCAGCACACGCTCCACTCGACCCACGAACTCGGGACCAAACCTTACAAGTCAGTCCCAGGTGCATATCTGCAAGAACAGTACGGATGCAAGCGCTTTGCGGACATGCTTGGGATCCTCTTCAAACAAAACCGCACGCTAGTTCTAAAGTCTGGGCCAGTCAGGAACACACGGTTGGGGCCAGGCTGCCGAGAAAGGCAACTACACAGCTTGCTTCTGAGAGCCGCTCCAGTTTGCTGCCACATACGCCCGACTCCGACAAACCTACTAACATCTGCATCTTGTCCAAGGAATTTGTTCAGAGGCTCCACAGGCTCAGCCCCTGTGACAGCAAGGCACTTCTTGCCCGGGGTCAAATCCACCTAGTTCTGACTTGACAGGCTTGCTCTACAACATCCCGCAGTTTTACAGGCACATATCTGTCGTATCCCCCGCGGACGTGCAACTGGCGCATCCTGGACAACCTGGCATGTACTGGTTGCGCCAAACGCGCGCAAGGGTTCAGACTGCTAGGGCTGTGGCATTGCGTCTGCCTCATCAATCACCATCGCCCGAACATTCTCGGTCTGCAGTGCACCTAGGTCCCGAGCAGCATCACACCACATAGGAGTGCATAGCAATAAGCAATGTATACTTCCTTTCTGGAATGATTCAGCGACTATGCCCTGGCGCGTGTTATGCATCAGAATGCAACAAGTGAATGGAAAGCATTACAACTAAAAGATCCATTCTGGCGTTGAACATGATCAGTTGTTACGTACAAAAGCTGAGACACATGGCCTTGGATCTGAGATGCTCTGAGCGAGGAGATGCACACTGCTCTGACTACGACAAACACTTCAGGCTAAGCCGAGCACCTCGCTCAATCAGTCGCGCGCATCGACCGGGCGTTGCAACCTTGGGCACGGGCGGGGAAAAGTACATCTTCCCAGCCTGCAGATAAGGTCAACAGCTGCAGCTCCCTATACTTCCAGCAGTTACCGCCTTCAAACATGAACCAGCGATAACTCGGAGCCTCTAGAGGCCTTGACCGTCCCCTTCCAGCTTTCAGACATTCCTATAAGACTAGCCGCGCAAGCGGCTGAATCACAATGATTCACAATGTGCAGCCCAGACAACAACGGCCACGGCCCCCAAACGGACCAGCTGCTCCTGTCAGGTGGTAAATGGGATAGCTGACCAAGAGTGGCTGCGGCTACAGTAGAGCAGCAAAAGCAGCAGCGATAGTTTGGCACTTCTGAGCGCTCGCATTTGTGCACGCGGCCCTCCTGTGAGTGCAAGGTCTCGCCGCCGTAAACCTAAGCTTGCTTCTGATTCGCCGTAGGATTGCTACCATTTCATCCCTACACTTGCAAGTCACACTATGCCCCCACAGCCAAAGCAGTGATACGTACTACCTCATCTTCTTGTGTGACAAAACGTTGTCAGTGACTTGACTTTCAGAAGACCAAGGTACCAATGCAACGTCAACCTGCACAGACAGCGAGAGCAGAGCAGCGCCGACCTGGAACATGCTGCGGTTTTCCAGCTGTTCTGACTTGCTTTAGCTCATGACCCTCCGCCTTGAGGCAGAAGTTAGGACCAAGCTTGCAATGTGGTAGTGAAGGAATGGAGAGAAAGTGGCTAGAAAAACAGTGATAATTACTCTAACACGCTAGAGCTGCTAGGGTGTCTTCCTGGACTGAGAGAAGTTATTCAAGCTGGCCTGCTTGCACAGCTCACGCGTGGGCACCAAGATAACCAAGGAGTGAGGCAGCGTCATCTTCCTGAATCGCGCATGCCCCAGCATGCATCCAGCCAGGGAGTTGTCACTGAAAAAGAACATGAAGCGACCAACGCAGCAAACGCAGGTCTGAAGATGCTGACTACTTAGTTAGCATTATCTGCGAACGCAGTAGCATGTACCCCAACATCATGACTCATGACGCCAAGACCTTTCAACAGACCCTTTCAAAATGCGTGCTGACAGGGCGGCTCATGGCGCATCCGTTCCAGAAGCGGCAGCAAATATGCCACCTACTACTGCAGAAAGCTGAATGGGAGCAAGGACACTGTAGAGGCGTGCGCATCATAACTTGCGAATATCAGGCAACCTGCTGTCACTTGAAATGCCTGCTCATGTGCTGAAACAACTGCTTCCGAAAGCACCGCACCCAACCCCCCCGGCCGTCTTGCCAGTCCCAGTCTTGGAGCGTCCCACGAAGCTTCGGCCCCGGAGGATGGGGTCGAAAGCACGCCTTCAGCAGGAGGAAATGACTTGACCAGACTTTGCCTAAAACTTTTCAGGCTTGACTGGAGGGCAATTTCCACTGTATGGGCGCTGACGCTCCTGAAGCCGAAGCATCAGAAGGAAGGAGATGAGCTGGAGATAAACAATTATGGATAAATGGCGTCGGCTCTTATCAGGCCATGCTGAGGCACAACGTCAGCTAACTGTTAGGGAGATCCTGAGGGCACAGGCTTGTGAAGCTGAACTGGGCCAGACCGAGAAACGACTGAATCTCGAAGAGCTTGGTCACGCCCATACCATACAAGTTCCTCAGGCCGTCCAACTGGAGAGCACTTTGAGTTAGGCCAAACCTCATCTAAGCAGCTGCGAAAAATCCATCAGGTGCCAACATATGAGAATACGTCTGTCTCAACAAGCTATTGATCAAAACATTCTCCAGGCGTCTGCTTCAGAATGTCTGGTATTGCAAGCCTCAGATTTCCGCCGGGTGCAGACATCTCCCATACATGAATTCTTCCACGTGGGCAAATACCAGACAAGTCACAATGGCGAGACGTGCAGGCTCGGCCAGGGAATGCACAAAGCACTGAAATTAGAAGCCGTTTGACATCGTTTGACAGTCCAGTCGGCAGACTGGAGAACAAACGTGCACCAGAAAGGCATTCAGCTGTGTGTTGCTTGTACGCACTGATGCGGAGATCGTGTCACGTCAAGCATTCCAGACCCACGCCTGACATCTTACATCCTTGATTTCGTGGAAATCAACAGCCTGAAACTGCGACTGATGTCACTCGGGGTCTGCGAAATAGCTTGCACTCTCTTATGGCAACTCTCTTGAAAGGAGACTTCTGTCATCCTATCTAGCAGCCTATCTCCTCCACCCTGAAGCCATGTGACCAAAGACATCTGAAGACATCTGGAGGTTCTTGGAAATTGTTTGGGGACCAGGCTACCGAGAGTCTTTCAGGAATTCACGGGGGCAATGTGGATCTAGACTTGCACATACAAGAACAGAGACGAAGCAAGGTCTGTAATCACTGTGATCAACTGGGTTACTGTTAAGGAACTTAAATTAAGTTACGATAATAGTAAATAATAGGGTTTCCCAAATATAGTAACATAATTTAAGTTCCTTAACAGCAACCCAGTCAAAGCACACGGGTTGCGCTTCAAACTCCGCCAGGCCGCTTGTCCACCTTCAGCGCGGATGCGGCCTGCGTCTGGGATGCGCGTGGCACCGTTCCAGAAGCTATGCGCCTGGCAGCAGGATACGTAACTAGTGGAAAAATGAAGGTGACGGGAACACTAGAATGAGAGCAATTACAAGGTCATACAAACGCCGCACGTCAGTGGGTCCAGCAAGGACATAGGCCTGTCGGGAGTCTGGGTTGCATCATTGAGGATCGAACCTCCCCTCAAGGAACTTGAATGGGGGGTAAGTAAACATTCTTACGGAAGTGTTCTGTCGTAGTTCTTTTGAAGCCATGTATAATTCCTTGTGGGCATTGTTTTGTGTTTTTGGAATGGCCTCGGAGGAGGGAAGTCTAGCTCAAAAAACTCGTGTTCAGTGAAGATACTAGCGGTAGCTTTCCTCGTAATAGATGCCACAAACGAGAACTCTTGTAGTTTTGACGATGAAGACAGAGTGACGCTACGGTTGCAGCAGTGTTAACAGCAATAGCTCTTGTAAGCTCAAACCAAGTCAGAAGAACAACGTTCTGACAGTTGTTATTCGTACACAAATATCGGCAATTTCTGCCTTCACTAACAAGGAATTTCCTGGGTGATGGTTTTCAAGTTTGGTAGCAGCTTGGTATGCCTCACTCTAGGGCCTTTAGGGCCTTCGAGCTGACGGGGTCAAGTTTGAATTGCCTTGCTGCTGCATTGATCGATGGGCTGCATCGAAAGGCACTGTCCACACAACTACAACAGCCCCAGGGCTCGGGCTCAAGGATTTGAGGGTCTCGGATGAGTTGGAAATTATCCTTCTTTCGCCAAGGCGTAATTAACACCAGTGGCATCGAAAGCTGACATCCTGTAACACGGGCCATTTACTCCGTCCCACAAGCAATTTGTTCAATCTCTCTCTTCAAACGGGTTCCCTCTATTCCAAACTCTCCCGGCCTTATGACCAGGCCGCCGGGAAACCACAGACGCCGTGCGAACATGGCAAAGCACAAGCATGACTAAGATTGGAACTAAAGGCCGCTGGTAGGGCCCATGCATCCTGGAGTCTTTCTATGCTTATTTCTGTGCATACCCCATGAAAACCCTAGAAGCCCAATACGGGGCCCATACCTGAGACCCTGAACCAGGAAACAAAGGTCTCTGAAAAGATAGTGATGGGTGGGGCTAGGTGCGCTCGTTGAGGGTTTTCAGCAATTTTACCAGTCACGCAGGCACGTGACACAGAAATGGTCAGAACGTTTCTCGTGTTGTCTTTGTCTGAAATGGCTCAGGGTTACCTTGCCCTGGATTGGCACGGAGAAGCAAAGGGCGGCGACGTTCCAGTTAGTGTTAAAGCTCTGCAGCTCGTGTTGCACCACTGACATCCACTGACCATGTTCGTGAAGCGTCACCCACCGTCACCTCGGAAGGAAGCAGACGTCCGGTCTCTCAGTGCAGCCGATCCCTCACACTCCAATTTTTGCAACAGGGGCCAGGATGGCGAGAGTGCAGCTGCAGTCTCTCAATAATTTGGCGCGGGGGCTCTTCCAGTCCACTGCCCTTCGATCTCGCTCCTGCAAGCAACGCCTTGGAGAGATCTCTGTGGCCACATGCGGAGCCGTCAGCCCTTGCACCACGCTTCTGGTGGATTTTCCGCAGCAGGGGCTCAAGTCGCCCTTAGTGGCTGTAAAACCACCCACGACTCGGGAGCTGCATATCTTAGATACTGGTCTGAATTGCTCCCGGCTCTCACTTCTTTTCCTTCTTCGGCTTCATGCTGATGGCTCTGGCCAGAGCCACTGCCGATCCAGCGCCTGAAGGAGGCACTTCAAGACTGACCCCTTCTTTGAAAGTGTAAGGGGATGCTGGATCTCAACAAGAAGCACGGGGCACGACTTGAGGATGGCAGCACTCCCGAAAGCTCAAACTGCTGAGAGCTGCCGAGATGCCCATAATGATGAAGAGCACCAGCCGGTCAAATTTCTCAGGTTCGCGCGAGGACTTCACCGCCTGCTGGGGTCTTGATGCTGGAGGAGATATCTACCAGTACAGGACCTGTCTGCCCCACAGCGTGAGTCTTCCGTGATGTGCGATCCATTTTGGGGCGTATCACCCGCTTGCGTTGGTACTACGTATACAGAACAATATACCATTATGTACTATATATAAAAGAGTAGTCTCAATTTTCTTTTCCATTATCCCTATATAACCCCAATATACCAGTATACAGGCACATGAGAACTTCAGAGTTTTCACTTTGCTTGGCACGTGGCACGTAGCCGTGATGAGCCGCCTGGATGCTGAACACAATGATAAAAACCAGCATCAGCACCTCAGCAAATGGGGGTTTCCTAAAATTAGGGGTACTTTTTTGGGGGTCCCCATAATAAGGACTATAGCATTGTAGGGTCTATGTTGGGGTACCCTAATTTTGAAAATCTACCAAATGCACCAGCGGTTGCCCTTTCCCCCTGACCCTCCTTGAGTCATGTTTGTAGGGCTGCTGAGGTCCCTGGCAAGGGCCAGGTGGACTCCAATTGCCACCGGAACCTGCAAGGGGAAGAGATGCGATGCCAGTACGCAGATCGATGGCTGAGAAATGCTGAGAATATGGCGCGTTCCCAAAGATGTGATGAGGCGGCCCTTTTCTTGAGGAGCTGCTGGTGACGAGTCTGACGACTAGTCCACGCTTTTCGTGTCCAGCATGTCAGCTTGATTGCAGCAGCATCAGGTACTTAACTCGCCAACACGCATCCTATCAAACCATGCTGCAGGTCTCAAAGGAATGTCGCAATCTGTTTTTTGCGACCTAGCGAGGGCAAAGGTCTCATGGCATTCCATGTCTAGCCCTACCACGCCCTGAACCTGCCAAGCTTTTTTTCAAGCGCAATCGGACAATACCATTACCCAGCAGCTGTGTTGAAGAAGAATGCGCAGGCTTCGCTTAATATAGGGTTTGCGTAAGCGATTGGCATGGCAACTCTCATGCTGGTTCCGACTATCACCTCAAAACTCGGGCCAGCCTCTTCGCATTGCAGTAACCTGCCCAAGGCATTGGTGTCGAGAGCGGAGGGATTGTGTTAAAAAGAAGCAAGGATTATAACGGGTGTGAAATGACTACACAGAGATTGCACTCTGACTACCACTGGCCTCCCTGAAGGACAGGACCAAAAGAGGCTGGTCCATTCCGTTCGACAGCACCGGCTTGTTAGACAGCATGCCCCTGGGCAAATGGTCGTGAGCAGTTTCACACAGAACTTCTTGTGTCCTGTCTTAGCGAAAGCTTTGTGACAAACTTGGCTATCCGTTTGCTGTCAAAGCTGCACGTGGTACGGCTGCCTCAGCAGAGTTGCAATCTTGCACTGTTCAGGACTTAGCGGTGGGACAATCAAAGCGGTGCCTCGGGCTAGCTTTCTGCCGAAAACTATCTCAAGGCGTCAGGCACTGCCACGGTAACCTTAAAGCTTAAAACGAACCAAAGAGGTACAGTAGCTTGCAGCGGAGCAGTTACTAGGATTACATCTCATACTAGCACAGGACTTGCTTTTATCAATGGGCATGTGCGTTTGGCTCAAGTTTGGCGCCTAACCTTCTAGTAGTGCTCAAGTGCAAGTTCCGACCAACGTCCTAACTATTTGGCAAAGTCTGTTGTTGGGGAATCGCCTTTTGTCTTGGTTCCTGAACTGCAGCTTAGCTGACATGGCTGGACCCTCGAAGTCGTCGCGACGTGACGGCGGCACATCCAAGATCACCTCGTAGCCATCTCCTGGGCTGCATCAAGCTTTGGACAGGCTCCCGAGAAGCGACCATCAAGCTAGGAGCCATCTCCCGTGTTCTGGGGCCTGCTTGGTCCCCAGACTGCAAATGTCATAGCGGAAGCACATCCTGATTTCTGGCAAGGCTCCGATCGGCCCATCTGATGGAAGATGGATCTGCCAAATAGTAGCCATGACTGATTGACTATGTTGAAGTGCGCAGCTTTCTGACGGTAGCACTGCTCCCATGCTCAACAGATGTTGACATTCCTGCGGTGATCCTGACATTTCCCGGCAACTGGAACCCTCATTTGCAGGTGACAGCACTGCCTCAGTCGGAGGAGGTAGGTCTGGCTCCTCTGGCGGATCCTCG